CAGGCTCCTAAGCTGCTCCCTTGCAGCTGCTTTTACCCCCACAGTCCCTTCTCCATACATCGGCCAACACGATCTGTTTCATATAGAAAATTAGAATACGTCTTCACCAGTTGGAAAGACTTAATAGTTTCCCACTGCTCTTAAAAGGAAAGGGTGAGGGCCCTCCCAGCCCGGCCCTGGCTGCCTCTCCGACTCCAATTCCGCCCCCTCTCTCCCTCGCTCATGTGTTCCAGCACGTTCCCATCTTGGAACCTTGGCACTTCTCTCCTTTCTGCCCAGAGTGCCCATCCCCCATACAAATGCACGGCTCACACCTGTTTCATTTCGATCTCGGCTCAGACTTCCCTGAGTTTCTCCTGTTGTCCCCACCACCTGACACTGTGTGCTGGCCTCGCCTTCCTGCTCTCTCCCCACTGGAACGTGAGCTCCTTGAGAGGAGGAAGCAGTTTATCTGTCTTTCTTCGCTGCAGCATGAACGGTGCCAGACATGTAGATGGTGCTCAACCAATATTTTTGAATGCACAAATCATCCCCTTTGGGGACACAGGCCTGCACCCCTTCCGTCCCCCTGCCCCCACCCCGAGGCACCGTTCCACCCTGCTGACTTGCCAGCTGCTGTTCCCTCATCACTCTCCTCTGTGCCTCCAATGTCTGGCTCTCCCAGGCTCTCTCCCACCTCTCAGGCTGCTCCTTGCTCAGTCTTCTGCCCACTCCTTCCCCTCGCCCTGCCCCTCTGCAGGGACCTCCCTTCTCCAGCAGCTGCCTGGATACAAGCGGGGCTTCCAGAGGGGCCCGACTCACCCATATGCCTGGGGGAGGAGGTACTGCGGCCCATCTCCTGCCATGGGGGAAGGATCTCGGGGATTGGTGGACAGTTTTGAAGATATCCTCTGCGGGTAAGAATAGTTGGGCTGGACGAAGGGGATGTAGCTCAGCGGGGGCAGGTAGGAAGAGCAGTAGATCTGCTGTCCCATCTGCTGCGGGTTGTATGGCATCATCTGCAGGTCAGAGAGGAGAGAGGGGCAAGGTCGCTGTTCCCCAGTCCTAATCTTAACCCTAGCCACCATCCCACAGCCCTGTGCCCCTCAGTCACTCTGTGCACACAGTAGGCAACATATAGGAATTGAAAAAGCACTGGGCTCTACTTCTATAGAGAGCCTGGCAAGTTACTTAGTTTATCTGAGCCTCAGTTTCCTCATCTGTAAAATGGGCAAAACTACCTACATTGTGTGGGGATCAAGTCAATCAATATAAAGAGACAGGCACATAATAAATAACAAATAAATATTATTTCCATTCTCTTCCCTGCCTCCCTACCTTTCTCTCTGTCAATAGCCATCCCCAAAGCCCCTTGTTCATTTTTAAGACTTTTATTACCCCCCCAAAGCTGTTGCAATTTACACAGCTCTATCTCAGGATCTCAACAGATTCCAAGTCCAAGACAGCCCTGCCCAGTGAAAATTCCTGCAATGGTGGCAATGTTCTCTCTGTGCTGCCCAGTGTGGAAGCCACCAGCCACACGCGGCTGCTGAGCACTTGAAATGTGGCTGGTGTGAATGACGAACTGAATTCAGAGTTTTACCTAACTTATTTAATTTAAGTTTAAATAGCCACGCATGGCTAGTGGTGACCATATTGGACAGTGTGAGCCTAGGAGAAAGAGCAGAAAAGGACAGTGGAGTTCACCTTGCACCCCAGTGAAATATGGGAATTTAGTTGGGTTTCTAGGACCACATGCAACAATGACCATATTGGACAGTGTGAGCCTAGGAGAAAGAGCAGAAAAGGACAGTGGAGTTCACCTTCCACCCCAGTGAAATATGGGAATTTATTTGGGTTTCTAGGACCACATGCAACAAACTCTCACTAAGAACTGGGGCTCCCACTGTCTTGCGCCTGACAAGGTAGGGACCTCATCTGTCTTCATTGATATTGCCCCAGCCCTAAGACAGTGCCTGGCACATAGCAGCTGCTCAGTAAACTTATGTTAAATGAGTGAATGCAAGAAAGAAAGAAAGACGAAGGGTACGAGGGGAGGAGGGAAGGAAGGAGGGAGGAAAGAGACAGCATTGAGTGTCTGTTTAAGTACCTAATGTGGTGGGGAGCTCACTACCCTATGAGCATGTTCCACTACCGACAGCTCTAAATATCAGCTCCTTTCTTGTGTGGAGCTGACATCTATTCTCTTGGGTGCTGAGGGGAGTTTCGGTCAAAGCTGGGGAGGCTTCTGGATCTCACTTTAGTAGCAAGAGTCTGGAGTCCACGTGCTCAGGGACTCAGCACTCCTACAGCCCTCTCTCACCCTGCATGCCCTTATCTAATTTAAAAAGCCACAAAGTCTAGCACATATTGAATGCTTGGAGGGTACCCAGACCTTCACAGGGTTTCTCTCATTAAAACTCTGAACAACCCTGTAAGGAAGGACTATTATTATTCCCATTTTGGAGATGAGAAAACTGAGGTTCAGAGAAGTTACACAACTTGCTTAGTAAGGGCTCCTAGTGCCCGAGCTGTGTCAGAACCCCAGCTGGGTGAGCCCAGAGCCTACCCCTGTGCCAGCATTTCCACTGTGCCTCTCTGGAAGCCTGAGCCCCACCCCTGAGCCATCCCATCGTTCCTGCAGTGGGGATACAGCCTGGCGAGGCTGAATGTGGGCACCAGACGCCAAGATGACGAACTAAAGTTCAGAATGTGCCAGCGGCTCACGAGAGGACCCCGGGAGGCATCTCCCAGGACAGAGCCCTATGGGCAATGTGGCAGGAGATACCCCTGGTCTTCATGGAGGGAGGCAGCGTCTGGCCCTGGGAGGAGACTGAAATGGAAGAGACAGGTCCTAGAGCTCAAGCGAGCTTTGTTCAAAAACTATAAAATGAAGCTCTGTGTACTGCTGTGGAACCATCTCCAATAAACTCTTCACTGACAAAAGCAACAGAACAGTGTGCCCAGAATGTCCAACTGGTATAAAAATGTATATATAAGTAAATATCACTGGAAGGATTTGTAAGAAACCAGTAAACAGTGATTGCCTCTAAGATTTTTAATTATTTTTACTATATTTTTATATTACTTTTTTCAAAAATATGTGCAGGCATGTATAAGCATAATTGTCTACAAAGATTCTCTTTGGAGCCAGGCAGACAGTACCACTGTTCACGGCATGGAGGTGACATGGCTGAGGTTCTGTGAGCCACTGACTCACATCTCTACTGCATCTCAGGATGCGAAGTGTTCCTATTGCTATAAAAGCAGTCTGTGTCTGAGTGATAAAGTTGGCTACCCCTATGGGCTCTTCCCTATGCTCCGGAATAGTCTAACATATTCCAGCTCAGAGATGCAATTTGCAGAGAAAGGGTGGGGCTTCCTGAGAGACAGGAAAGGCAGAAGAGTCTGCAAATTGACGTGTGGGGATGTCTGTCCACCTGCGTGTGGAGTGCAAGGTTAGCCTGGGGACAGGGCAGGTTGATCTTTGGTGCTTTCTATGCCCCCATTCTAAGTTCTTTCCTCACATCCCCTTCCTGCCCCAAGACTCAGTATCCCTGAATGTGGTCCTGCGTCTATTTGTGTGTGCATGCACATGTACTCATGCCGCTTGCTGGCATGTTATAACTGCATCTGTATTTCTAGCTGCCTCTGCATGTGTGTCTTTGTGTTTCTCTCCCCGCTGCTTTATGTTGATACTGTATTTTTGTGTATCTGTGTACACCCATTCTAAGTTCTTTCCTCACATCCCCTTCCTGCCCCAAGACTCAGTATCCCTGAATGTGCTCCTGCGTCCATTTGTGTGTGCATGCACATGTACTCATGCCGCTTGCTGGCATGTTATAACTGCATCTGTATTTCTAGCTGCCTCTGCATGTGTGTGTTTGTGTTTCTCTCCCCGCTGCTTTATGTTGATACTGTATTTTTGTGTATCTGTGTACCAGAGGCAGTAAAGCATGGTGACTGGTAGCGCCAGGCTGCCCGAGGTCAAACCCCAACTCTGTCATTGTTTTACTGTCCAGCAGATATTCATCCTTAACCCACCCATGGGAGCAGTGTTGCCAGATTTAGCAAATAAAATTACAGGACACCCAGTTAAACTTGAATTCCAGATAAATGATGAATAAGTTTTAGCATAAGTATGTCCCATGCATTTGGGACATTTAGGACATACTTATACTAAATTTTTTTTTTTTTTTTTTGGTGGCTGGCACAGGGATTCAAATATACTAAAATTTTATTCGTTGTTTATCTAAAATTCAAATTTAACTGCGTGTCTCATGTTTTAACTGACCGCCCAACATGGGAGGAGAATGACTGCCAAGCCCCTCTGATGCTGGGCAGAGCTATATGATTTGTTTTGGCCAATGGAAGGTGGGTGAAGCTGCCATGTACCAGTTCTGGGCTGCTGCTTTCAGAGGCACTGCATGCTTCTGCCTGCCCCCTTGTCTCCTGCCACCCACCGTGTAAGGAGCACCAGCTACTGTATCTTCTGCCCAGGCCTGGAAGGAGAGACACGTGGAACAGGACAGACCTGATCCACAGCCCAGCTCAGCCAACTCGCAGACCCAAGAGCAAGAAATAAATATTTGTTGTCGAGAGTCCCTGAGACACTGAGGTCAGCTGTTGCCACAGCAAAACCTAACTTGTATGTTAACTTTATGACCTTGGGCAAGTGACTCAATCTGTCTGTGCCTCAGTTTCCTCATCTATAACCTACCTCACAGGGTGGTTGCAAAGGTTAAATTAGTGCAGATAAAGCCCTCAGAAGAGGGCCTGGCACACAGTAAGGGCTCTGTTAAGTGCCATCTGTTATTATCACGTAAGGACATTGGTGTGTGTCTCCACATGCATGCTGGTATGTGTGTCTGTAATTGGGAACCATCGGTGGGCCAGAACGTACGCCTAGACAAAGACGAGGGAGGAGATGTCCCTCTGATTCAAAAGACCTTCATGGAGCAGGGACAGTGGAGGGGGGTGTCTACTTACCTGCCGGGAGTAGCACCCCAGCTGGGGGTGCTGAGCTGGCTGGTAGGGCATCCTCGCTGCCCTCTGGGGGTACAGGCCCTGGGGAGAAAGTGAGAGGCTCAGTGCTGCTGGGCAAAGGGCTCCCTGCCAGGGAGCCGCAGCCACCCAGCTCAGCCTCTGGCTGCCATGCCTGGATCTCAGACAGGGCTGAGTGTGTCCCATCACACTGCTGGCCAGACCACCGGCTGCCTGAGGCCAGCTGGAATCAGGCCAGGACAAGCACAACTCACGCCACATGGGAAGGTCCTCTTTACAGCCTTCACAGCCTTTTTAGTGAGTGTCTAAGATAAGAGCTCCGGGGGCCTGACTACCTCTTGAATCCCAGATCCGCCCCTTAGTGGCTATGTGACCTTGGGCAAGTCACTTCAGCTCTCTAGGCCTCTTTTTCCTTGTCTGTATGATCCCCTGTGTTCAGGCCTGCAGAGCCTGTGAAGGTAGCCACGTTATCTTTGTTGCTGTCTACATGCCTTTTCTAAATGCCTTCACCCAAACCCATTCCTGCCCTAAGACATGAGGTGTCCATGCGTATCTGGGGGTGGGGGGGTGTTGCTGGTTTGCATCTTTGTTTATTTCAGTACATCTCCATGTGTGTCTGCACTTGTGTCTGTGTACAAATGTGAACTGTGAATCCAGGTGTGTTAGCTTGGGTTTCTGCTGCTGTGTGTCTGTGTGTCCATGCATTCACCTGTGTCTGTAGCTTAGCGAGGGTCAGTGTGAGAGTAAATGAGTTAATGCATCTAAAGAGCTCAGAATTGTACCCAGCACACAGTAAGGACTCTGTAAATGTTAGCTATGTTTATCCTCTCTCACTGCCCCTCCCTTGAAAAGGCTCTCCTGCAGCCCAGCCAAATGGGAAATGGAAATTTTATCCACAGCTCTGTCTGTGGGTGGGGTCAGCCCATGACTCCACCAGTCTCAGACTCTGCCTCTACCTGCCAATTCAGAGCTACCCTCTAAAATGCAGCTCAAAGAGCTAAGTACCTCCCAGCCCAGGTCACCTTCCCAGAGGGTTCTGTGCCCTGAGACACTGCCTCCCTTCTGGGCTTAGCTTGTGCCAATTATCAAAGTGTTGGCAGCTGACATTACATCCTTGACAACTTCCTCATGGCCATGGGCTCTTCATAAAAGGCTCTGGAATCCCCGGTATGGAGTCTACAGAGAAGTCTCTCTATCTTCTAGGTCCCTAAGAGTGACATCCTCTCAGGGCCCCTCCTTGCTCTCTACTTCCATACACCTGACACTTGAGACCTTCCTGTGCTCAGCCCCTCCCGCTTTCACCGACTCCTCCACCTGAAACCAGCTCACCTGTGCCCCTTTACTCTACGCTTCACACCCCGGGGCAGCCTCACTCCCATTATGACCATGGCCTGGTCCCTGCGACCTCAGCCCTGGCCTGAACCTGGATAGAGAAGTCAGGGGTTGCCTTGCCTGTTCCCAGCCCTCGGTGAGCTCCAAGGCCATTTGGCAGGTTGCTAAGTGTCCCCCCTCTATTCCACCCCCTGCCATCCCCCTTAGCACTTAACTCTTCTTTCTACAGCTAGTTTCCCCAGGCCACACCTGCCTGCACCAGGTGATCCCAGGATCTGTTCAAGAGAAGCAACCGCCACCCCCGCCACCCTCCCTCCTCCCACCGCCCAGTCCTGGGGTGGGTTTCCAGGAGATGATGCCACCTTCATCAGTATGAGTAGCACTGTATGACTCTGAGGATATTTCTAGTTGTTAGAATTGCAATTTTGTAAAATCACAAGCAATGGTAAATAAGCATTCACTCTTCTTTGCTTCAGGCCATGGCCTCTTCCCACACACCCTCCCTCCTTAATTGGGAGCAGAATTCCTTCATGCCGAGCTGCCAGGAGCCTCTGAAGCTCCTCAGTGTTGGGGACTTTGTCTTCCACATCTCTGAGTCCCTCCACCACAGAGCTCTGAGTAAATTGGATTTGGGACCTCATCTTTATTCCTAATGCTAAGCAGGAAAAAGACTAGGATAGTCTGTTCCCCGTTTCTCCTCTCTGTCCCTTCAAGGTCTGCAGAGCTCCCTGACCCTGTTTCCTTGGAAGATCTGGGCTGAATAATAAAAACCAACATCTTTATCACACGTTAGATTTTACAGTCCTTCCCATCCATGGACTCAATTAATTTTTACAACTGAATCAGTATATGCTGCAGCTACTGCTGTAATTATTATGAACCCATTTCACAAACTAGGAAACTGGGCTCAGAGCAGTTAACTAACTTGCCCAAGGCCACACAGCTTGGAAGCAGCAGAAGATTTAAAACCAAGTCTACTGATTTCAAAACCTGCCTTCTTTTTATTATCTCAGGCCCCTTGATCAGCTGTCTTAAAGCTGAATAGCATTAGATCACGAAAAGCGAGGAGAAGGTAAATACACTGTCCTTCATTACTACCTGGGAGGGTCAATGCCTTCTACAGCCCACTTGAGCTGAGCCTGGTCAGGGCCTGAACTGCCTCATAGAACCCAGCAGGCACTATCAGCCAGGGCCCTTCCTCTACTTCTGCCCAGAAGCCATAGAACCTAGCAGTCAGCCCTACGATGCTAACACCAGCATCTCTGAAGATAGAGGAACTTCATGCTCAGAAAATATGTCCAAATTTCACCCACTCAAAAAAAGTCAAGTCAGAAGAAATTAACATAGCGAAGAGATACTATCCCCACTTAATTACACAAACCATTGCCAATTAGCTTTACAGGATGAGCTCTGTGAGTGCGTTTTAGAAAATCATGCAATTGTTTCTCTTTTAGAAGGGGAGGTGCATCCTGCAGGTCTTTGATTTATTCCTGAACTTGTGTTAGACTCCAAGCTTCTCAGTCATCTTGAGTGCCCTTGCCTAGCACAATGATGGGCCTACAGTCAGTGTGGAGCAAAGGTTTTCAACATCACTTAATGAAAGAGCTTATAAATAAATAAAAATGACTTGATCAGTGAGTAGGTGAATAAAGGAATAGTGAATAAGCAAACACAAAAACATAGGGTAAAAGAATAGTTTTGAAGGAGTCGGTGAATCCATGAAGAACATTTCTCTCAAGACCTGTGTAAAGATAATGCGTCACTAATATAAAACTGATATACTTCAATTTCCCCCTTAGATCACCTTCCATTACAACTTTCACCTCAATGGCGGGGCTGAGGCTTTATATCTCTGGGGACAGGGTGGGTACTTGTTCTCTTTAGCAAACAAAGAAACAAAAAGTCTTGAAAGCAAAATAGAGAGAGAAAGAGAGACTTTGCTAGATTCCTTTCAGATTCAGGAGCTGAGCCTGGTGGACCAGCTCGCCGAGTCTTTGCATGGAGTAGGGAGGATCTCCTTCTGCAAAGGAGATCTAAGCTGTAATGCTTGCTGCTCTGTTGCAAAGGAGGAAAAGACATAGGGCCCCGAGGGCTGGTGAGACAGGAAGGGACATAGCCGGGGACAGAGTGCCGGGCATATTTCCTTCTCTATCTCCCCTTTCCAGGCTTTGTCAGGCCAGGCTGGGGCAGCAGATGGCCAAGCTCCTGGAAACACAAGTTTGAGTTCCTGCCTTCCCCATACAACTACATGCCACTCCGGAGAGGAGCCAGGGAGGGGAGAGAAGACTGAGAAGTCTTAGAGGCTGAGCATCTTTCCTGAAAAAACTGAGCACTACCTGAATGGACTATTTAGGCTACTGGATTGGACTAAGGTTTAAACCAGAGTGGACGTTTATTTGATTTTTCCCTCCTTCTATCTAGTGGGCAGCAGCTCTTGAGGGATATTAAGTTAAATCGATACAAAAAAGAAACTACATTTTCCCTGCATAAATTAGTTCTGTGAGTAAAATTTCCCACCCTGCTACGAGTGCTTCACCACCCCTTGTGTTGCCCACCACTTCCCTTTTAGCTATGAGCCCGAGACCAAGAATGTGTGCCAAGCCACCTTAGCTGGGACAAGCTAAGACCACATGGATATAGTTTAAGTAAGATGGCCATTTAATTTGTCATTCAAACCAGGACACTTGAGGGAGAAAAGGGGTACTATTAATAATTATGCTGGGACAAAAGACCTAAACTGAGGCTGTCCCAAGAAATCTAGGATGTATGTTGTCCATCTTTAAAGGAAGTTGCAGAAAGTTAGGTAGGAAATAAGGACTATACCAGCATCCCACCCTGGGAACCCAAGTGCTTAACCAGCCAAGACTAGCAAAGCAGCTCTGGAGTAAATGGCACAGAGTGAACTGGAATTCAGGCAATGGAAAATTAGAATTATATATTCATGTGTGTGTGTGTGTGTGTGTGTGTGTGTGTGTGTGTGTGTGTGTGTCAAGTGGTTGGTCTGATGTGGCCACACTGAACAAAATAACTGACAAGCTGACAAGTCGATGGTGCCCTACTATGGCTCCGATGAATCCTCTAGAATGTATGGATGTTGTTCGAGGGTAGTCTGAAGGCTCTTTGTGAACAGGCTCCCTGCAGCCACACCTCCTCCGTGGCCACAGGAAAGCCAGGGCCCACCTCCTCACCTGATACTGCGGGAAGGTGGAGTGATTTGTGAATACTGGCAGAGGTGGATAGTTCAGGTTGAGCCAGAGCGGCTGGTTCAGAGTTGTGGAGGTCAAGGCTGTGGCAAAGTGTGGGGTGAAAACGTTTCCCTTGTACTTGAGGTTGTTCTTGTCGGAAGCCGTCGCAAGTGGGTTAACTATAAATCACAGGAGAGGTGAAGCATTTCAGTGATTGAGGCAGAGAGAGGCCAGGATGCATTTTGCA